CTATCACGGTTGGTTTCATCTTCTGTACAGACCACTAAAATGTTCTCCATAACATTAGTAAGGCTGTTTGCTTTCTTATCATTCACGTATTCAATGGAGTAGCTTTTAATTTCCTTCAAGAACTTCTCCTTTGCATTCACCGCTTGGCATAAGAGACTCACCCTTTGACCAATCTCAGCTTTCTAGATGCTCTCCTACTTAAACTTATTTCTAGTTTTTGAATCAGTGTGAGAAATGAGACTCTTCCTCTCGCTTGAACACTTACAGACCATTGTAGGGTTATTAATCATCCTAATTTCAGTATTGTTGTGTATTAGAAAAAAGGGAAGCCTAAGGACAGGGAGAGAAATCTGGAGCACCCAGAACACACACAACACTTACTGATTAAGTTACTGTCTTTTATGTACGCAGATTGTGGTACCCAAAAACAATCACATAAGTAATATTGAAGATTACTGATCACCATAACATATATAATAATAATAAAAAGTTTTGACATATTCTGAGAATTACCAGAATGTGATACAGACCTATGAAGTAGTGAACGCTATTGGAAAAATGTGCTAATTGACTTGCTTGATGTAGGGTTGCCACAAATCTTCGATGTGTAATATATGCAATATCCACAAAGTACAATAAAATGATGTAATGCCCATATAGTCATATGCTGCATAAAGATATGTTGGTCAGTGATGGACCACATATGACAGTGGTTCCATAACAATATAACAGAGTAGAAAAATTCCTATTGCTGTCTCATCATAGCTGTCTTAAAAGTCATAGGACAATATATTACTCATATGTTTGTGGTGATACTGGTATAAGCAAAACTACTTAACTGCCAGTCATAGAAAAGTATAGCACATACAATTACTGAAGGAAATTATACTATCTAGGTGTAAACACATCCTATGATATTTGCCTAATGACTAATTTCTCTGATCACATCTCCATTATTAAGCATCACATGACTATACTCCCTTCTTCAGAAAGAAGTATATTCTTGTGGTGGACACTCTCCTAAGGATTCATAGCTTAATGAGGGACAGGAACCTTTGAAGGAAGGAAAATGTTCCTTTTTCCTAGAAGCAAATGGCCTCATTTGCTGTCTTGGTTGGGTATACCTCATGTAGTGGACAGCCCATAAAACTATGATTGCCTTGCATAAGAAAGGGGTTTTAGTGGAACTGGTTCCTATAGTTTTGATTGTTTTTTTTAAATTTTTCAGCAGTCTGGATGCCAAGATGTAGAAGGCAAATGAACTGATTATAAGTTGAGGTTTTGCCATGGAAGCATAGTAAATCAATCACAAAGGGGCAAGATAGCTGAAAACTCTGGCAAGTTTTATGGATAGTGGATCTAGGATGGCTAGCAAAGGAAGATGTGGCAGACATGATTATTCGTTCTTCTTCTTTCATGTGAATTGAATCACCATTTTATCCAGAAGTTGGGCAGCAGCAATGCAGTAAAACAACGTGAACTAAATTCAAGCAGTGAATCACAGCTGAACCCGACCATGGGAGTCACATTCATCTGTGTCAATTCCTCTGTGGTAAAACACACACCTAGGCATAGGTATGTGTTTTAGCCTAAGAAATATAAAGGAAAGTTTTCCCTTAGGCAAAGATGCCCAGGATAAACACTCATTTTACTTTCCTTTACATGTGGCCTTATGAGGAAGTGATACTTAGAGCTGTGTGGTTATTTTATGGCCACGATAGGGCAAATTTGAGCTCAAATACTACATGAAGAAATGAAAGAAACAAAACAAAAAGCCTGGGTCCTCAATGACATTATTAAAGATAGAAAGATTATCATCACTCCTTTCGTTCTGAGAATTTTCCTTTCTCTACTTAAAAGGCACTTTTTCCTTTATCACCACTATGGGATTGTACTTAAATTTTAGTTCATTTTTACTTCTCTCTCTAGGCACAGGTGTCCAACCTTTTGGTGTCCCTGGGCCACATCGGAAGAAGAGTTGCCTTGGCCACATGTTATGTACATTGCGACACGCAATCACCAAAAAACCCCTCAATGTTTTGAGTACATTTATGATGTTGTGTTGGGCCATATTCATAGCCATCCTGGGCCACATGTGATCTGAGGGCTGCGGGTTGGACACCCCTGCTAGAGGCTGGTCACAGTTCATTGGTTTTCGTCATTAAAAAAATATTTTCAACAGGCAGGGTATATATAGTTTTAAAGAATATATTTAATATCACTTATACACAAAAATCTTTTTTTGGTATTTAAAAAACACTTTTACTGAGCTATTATTCACATATCATACACCTACCAAAAGTACACAATTCAAAAGTTTTTAGCCTATGCATAGAGCCATACAGCCATAAGCATAATCAATTTTAGAAAATTTTCATCACCTATAAAAGAAACCCTGTATTTAGGAGCAGTCACTTTCCATTTCCTTCTGCCCTGGGAAACCAATACTCTACTTTCTTAGATTTACCTATTCTGTGAGCTTTATGACAATTAAAATTTGTATTGTCCATCACTGATGCCCAGTATCTAGGAAACTGGTTGGCCCATGGGTCTTCAATACCTGTCCAGTAGTGAACAAGATGGAATAAGCCCTTGCTTTCTTGGAATTTATATTCTAAAGAAGATGAATAAATTAAAGAGAAAAAGAAACACCTAAATTTTGTTAACTGTTGCATAGCAGAGAATGTGCTATAATGGAGGATGTTAAGGAATCTATTTAGATAGCAAAATCAGAGGCTTCTCAGAAATGTGCTGACATTTATGCTGAGGCCTTGATTAATGCTAGGAAGGAGTCAGCAACAAAGAGCCCAAGGAAGAGAATCCCCAGCACAGAAAAGGGCAAGTCAAGTTTCAGGGGCTGCAAAGAACTCAGTCAATTGCAGCAAAGTCAGTGTGACTACAGAATAGTAAACGCAGAGGATGATGAAAAAAGTAATGGAAAGGTAGTTGAGGACCAGATTACAGAAGCCTTGTTAGGGGATGGTAAGAAGTTTGTATTTAACTCCAAGTGAACTTGCATGTCATTTAAGTTGTATGATTTATTCCTTGTGTAGAGCCTTACCATTCGAACAGTACCCCCAACTAGCAGCAGCGGCATCACCTCTGACTTTTTAAAACTGCCCTAGAATTGATAAAACGTCTACCTTTAACAAGATCCCCAAGTGATTCATTCATCTGTACATTAAATCTCGAGAGACACTAGAGAACGAATTAGGAGTGAGAAAGAAGAGGGTATACAAATTAGGTAGGCTGCCTGTAAAGGGTGATAGCATAGAGGAAGAGAGGACCGATTTAGGGTATATTTTGGAGGTACCTGATTTTGGTTTCTTAGCCAGCTAAGTGGAGATTACAGTAAGCAAGTGTATGAACCTGGATTTCTGAGAAAAGTTTGGGATTAGAGATACTGATTTCTTGGATCTGATATCTATTAAATATCCTGCTTCTGAGTTTCAAGTGTTGTTTTACAGTTTTATATTGAAACATGTTTGCATGCTGTCATTTTTATGGAAAATAAGACATGCCTTGCTGATGGCTGTCCAAGCTTTCCCGACTTTCACTTTGAAGTTCTCTGTTACTAGATACCTTTCAAGTCCTTTTTAACCCCTTCACACACACATGCACACACAAAATGTCATGGATGTTTTAAAATTCAAGGCTCATGGCTTACCACTTTTCTTCCTTGTCCATAGCTCCTAGCTCTACACCCAGGTCTTAACTGAGGCAGACATCCTCAAGCCTGTCCAGTTTCTAGGTACAAATCAGATTGGAAACTCCTGGACTGGTGGGTCCCATTCTCTTGGTGTGCAATTCTGTACTCTTTTTTTAATTATTTATTTTTAGAGAGAAGGGAAGGAGAAAGAGGGAGAGAAACAATGTGCAGTTGCCTCTTGTGCTCTCCGTACTGGCCTGCAACCCAGGCATATGCTCTGACTGGGAATTGAACCCATGACCCTTTGACTTGAAGCCTAAAACACAATCCACTGAGCCACACCAGCCAGGGCCAATTCTGTATTCTTAAAAAATGATCAGTGAACTAGATGCAGTCAGTTAATGGGAATGAAAGAACATTAAGTGGGGGAGACTTCACAGTCCCCATTTTTAAGCCAAAGAGTAATTTTTTTGCATAGTCACTTTTGTAAGACGCTGGCACAGCTGAATTCCAGTTTTAATGCTCTTTCCTCTACTATTTCTCTCACCAAGGATGGTTTGGCCAAAAGTTCAGAAATAGCCTAAGTAACATTAATCAATATCAACCTTAGGAAACAGTTCCAATTTTGCTTATGATTGCCAAAGGCATGGCTAAAACTGACACACAAGTCAAGTTGCTCTTTCAACATAAGCTAATTTGAGTTTTGTATGCCTAAACTGGTATTGTCTATTCAGGGAATTTCAAAGCTGGTCGTCAGCTTCTGATTTTAACAGTTTGTTACAACTTAAAAACACAAGCAAAAGACCATTTTTCCTTCTTTTTTTTTTTTTTTTTTTAAGGGATGGAGAAGGAGAAAACTTGCCATGGTTTCAATTCTCAGCCACTGGTAACTCAGAGTTACGACCACACTACTAGAGTGTCCGTGGGACGGTTCCAGGATTCTGCCTCTCCTGGTTAATTTCACTAGACAGATTTCCGGTTAGGAAGTGATACGAACTTTTTCAAAGGTATTGCTCTATAGCTGTTTCTCGTACTGTAAATTTACTTGATCTGTCTGAAACACTGCCTTGAGAAAAGTAAATTCTAAGAACTTTGAGAAGAAAGTTCCCTCCCAATAAAAGCATATAAGCATTTGTGGGGTGCAGCCTGTGGGAACTGTTTAAAGAAGAAAAGCGGAGGATTTGCCCCAGAGCCAAGACTGGGTCGGGGCTGAGTGAAGTCGACTCGGACCTGTCTCCTCCGGTGGTATCGGCCTGGCGGGGCCAAGAGGTTGGGGGAGGAAAAGGAAGGTCTCTGCGCGGCCTGCAGGTGAGTCCCGCTGCTGCACCGAGTGGGCCGAGGGACGTCCTTCCCTCTCGGGACCGGAGCTCCGGAACAACCGTGGGTCCCGCTCCTCCCCCCAGCAGGGGGAGAAGGGGGGCAAGCGGGTGTTCTCTCAGGCTATAAAGGGCCTTGGGTCGCCACGGCTGCCCTCAGCGTCCTGCAGCTCCGCCCTCGTCGCTCTCCTCCAGGCTCCAGCGCCCTTTCCAGCTCAGGGTGCACCCGACCCTCTCCGGCCTCTGCTACTCCGGCTGCGGTGGAAGATGGCGGCCCCGGCCAACAGCTTTGAGGAAGCGCTGGCTGCTGCCTTGGCGGACGTGCCCGAACTAGCCAGACTACTAGAGATTGACCCGTACTTGAAGCCCTTCGCCCTGGACTTCCAGCGCAGGTACCACCCGACTCCGTCAGAGGTCTCCCCCTCTCCCCCACCCCCCATTCTTCCGAGCGGGGCAGGCCCCCTCCCATGCGCATGCTCAGGGTTCGGGCCTTCACTGCAGCTCACGAGTGCGTGGCCCCGCCTCTCCGGCCTCTGCCCCACCCCTTGCGGTCCCGCCCAGGGTCCTAGGAGGTTCGTGCGGTCCGTGGGTGGGCGTGGGGCTCATTCTGGTAATCACGTCCTTTGGTTTCTGGAGTTGTTAGGCTGATGACTCAGGCTCCTGGGCTGGACGAAGAGTAGCCGAATTAACCTTTCTCTTCGTCTCTCCCCTCCCTCGGAGTCAGAGGTCTTGCGCCATTGCGTACGTGCTTTGGCTCGCACTACCCTCCTTTGCAGGAGAGGGAGGCAACGCCACTCACTGTACCGAGGTGGTTCTGTGAATCCTCCTGTGCATTACGTCGGCGTGTATAATTGGACTTTAATTTTTTTCTAGTTTATTTCATAGCAAATATTGTGATTTTTATATCTAACAGGATTCTTTCTGGCAGCTTTTGTTTTGTTATCACCCCACTGTAAGAGAAGGTTAGGTCAGTCTTAGTCAACCTCTAGCTCCCGAACGTTGATAAGTAAACTGTTGAGCAACATGCATCTGTTTGGCATTGCCGTGCTGGAGGGGGAGAAAGGCAAGAAAGTCAAACTTCTGAAGGGCGATTTAGGATGCTTTAGCTTTAGCTTGTCTGTTAAATTGGTTTACTACAAAATTAAGTTGCTAGGATAGTAGTGCTGGTAATCAGCTCAACTTTAAAAGTAAAGTTTTTAAAATTATAATAGTTGCTGTACTAGTTACGGTAGTGACATTTATGAGATAAACACGTTGTGATTTAATGTGTTGCCCTTGAGTTCCTGCACTTTTAGCCGAGCCACTTGAGAATGAAAAGAATTATGGCAACAGAAATGGTCAAATATTCAAGAAACAGAAAATAGCTAGTTATTGGAAAGAAGCAGCAGCAATGGGGTTTACTGGAACGAGGCTGATAAAGTTTGGGGTGTTTTTATGTATGTATTAGGTTCATGACCTAACACTGTGACTTATTACCTGTATTCAGTTCAGCAACTGTTTATTAAAGAATCTCTTATTAAAGGTTGAATATAACGTTTCATTCCAGAGTTTATATATCCTCATGAATGAGCCCTCCTCAGAGTACTAGTAACTTTGAGCTTTTGCTCAGTTATTCAGATGATAGGGCCCTTATACAAGCCATATGGGAAGCAGCAGCCTTGCTTTCAATATTTACAATATAGCTTTCAAAGAAACAGTTCACAGTTGTCATAGTTCAAGATTGGATTTGATTTAGAAATAGCCAAAACTTTTAGAGCAAAAGATGGTACTCAGACTTTTTTGATGTGCTCATTAATGATGGCGCTATGCTTTGTAAAATAACTCAAGACATTTCTAAGAGTTATGAAAATGTTATGTGTGTTTCCCACCCTCCCCCTTTAAAAAATGATTACAAGCAGACAAACATATCCCTAGTTAAATATTTCTTTCATGTAACGCACTTCAAATCCATTAGGATTGAAACAGTTATGATTCTCTTTCATGGTTTGTCAAAGCTAATCAGAGGGGTGAAGATCAGAATAAAGAAGTGGGGGCAATTTAGTGTTCCTGATGAGGAGGCTGGTTCAGTGGGTCCTTGTGCCTCACTCTGGCCTGGATTCTACTTCTGGCCTTGGTTCTCAGTTCTTGTCATTTTCTAGCACACGTGTTCCATTTAGGCATTTCAAATGGTAATTTGGTATTTGGCAGCAGTAACTTTTATTTAACATTTGAAGAATAAATAATTCCTCCTTTACAAAGTTTGGTTCTGGTTACTTACTCTATTTTCTGTTTATTTCTAATAACTCATCTGGGCAGTATGCCTTTGGCATAACACAAATATACAACCAAACATTTGGGTGCGAAGTGTGATTACCAAGAATTGAAAATTTGGAGTACAAACAGTATATAAGAATGGTGCGGGGAGAGAGGCAGTTTCTTCTCATTGGGGGACCATCTCATCCTTCCCTCAACATACCTTCACTAGAAATCCTGTTCTTCTTGTTTACTGTTTGTGTAACTGTAACAATGTTGAATCAAGTGTGAGGATTAATGAATAACTCTGTGCCATAATAAAAAATTAGTACATTAGAGTGAGTGACAGACTTTATAATGTCTCATTGATTACTTCCTAAGATGGAATTATCCTTGCAGCCCAGTTTTTTTTATCCCTTATTTACACTGCAGTTAGTCGCTAGGATCATAATTCCAACATCTTCCTGTTTTAAAACCACGACATTTAATTGTCCCCATATAACATGCCAACTTAAGGCATCTGTCTATAGGACTCTTCTCATAGCAGTGTAGGCTGATGAAGGCTTTGTTTTGAAACATTGTTGTACAGTGTCAGTTGCAAAAAACAGAACATATACTATAAACTGTTTCTCACCACTTTTGCCCCAGTCACTTCTGCTAATACATTATATTGGGCAATGCAAGTCAAATGTGTCTTCTGAGCCATGTGAGTAGAAGAGAGAATTGATATTCCTGGATAGCTTGAAAAATAACACAGTTGCAATAACACTTGTCTATATCTTGTGTTTAAAGTTTATGTAATACTTTTACATACATTATGGTATTTATTTTAGTCCTGGTGAGAAAACCACAGGGTAGGACATGCAGGCATTTTTGTTTTTCCTTTTTTACAGATGAGAAACCTGAGATTTGGTGACTGACTTAAGTTGATCTAGCTAATAAGTGCTGCAGCTAAAATTAGTTTTTCTTTACTAAAACTGTTTTCAAGAAGTTCACAAACAGTGGTTTCTTGGTAATGCAATGGATGCCTCCAGCATTGGACATTTGGAAGCACTTCTTGGATCCTCAAAGCCAAGATACTGCAGCACTTGCTTTTCTTCCATTATCTCTGGTGGTTTCTTCTCACGCTCTTTCTGACCCTTGGATATAGGAGTTTCTCTGGGCCTTCCCCAGGGCCTTTTCTATGTATTTCTACTTTATGTACTTTTCCTAGCCATTCTCATTCATCCCATGGGTTTTATCTATGCACTGAGGCTGCCCACATCTACCTTTACCCCCAAATCTTTCTCCTGATCTCAGATATATTTATAAATATCTTTATTTTGATGTCATATAAGAATAGCACTCAACATGTAAAAAATTGAATTTATGTTTTTTTAAATACTAAACCTGTTTGTCCCTTTATTTCAATGTATGGCATCTTTATTTTTCAACTACTCAAGTCCAAAACTTAAGAATTATCCTTAATTATTCTTTTCCTCTTCTCTTTTATCTCCAAGCCTAGTCAATTATAGCTCCTGTGTTTCAAACAAGTGCCCCTCAATTTCTACTGTTTTCATCATAAGTTACTAGCTCTTCTAGCCTAAATTACAAAAACAGCCTCACAATAGTTCCCCCATTTCAAATCTCAACAGTTCCCCACAGCTTTTAAGGTGTGGTGCAGACATCACATGATTGTAGTATACAGTCCCTGTCCACATTTTTAGTCTCTCCTTTGGACTCTGCTTTCACTATCAGCTAATCAGAGGGAGCCTAAGGGTAAGAAAACCTAAGCCTGAGGTAGATGGATGTATGGGAGCTTCTGTAAGGGACACTACAATATCACTACAATACCTGTGGAGCATGATATTTGTTTTATAGGTGTGTTTCTTAAGTATTGAAGATTTTCGTTTCTTCTGAGATCAGACAAGATCGGACGTGTTGAGGGTGGTATGGCTGTAGGCTGACGATTTTCATTTTTCACTTTGTGTATACTCACAAGCAGTTAGGAGCCCAGAAATATCACTAAATAAAAGGTGAAAGAGACATTAGAAAATTGAGCATTTTCTGCTCTTTATCATAAGAGTGATTCTTTTCGTTTAGTAGGAAATTAATTAGTAAGTGGATCATTTGCTTAATTTTTATTAATAGACAATAATTTTTCTCTAGCCCATAAAATAGATCTTTAACAGATATTTAAAGAATGTCAATTTGAAGTGTGCCAGAACATTATCCTCTCTTGAATACCACAAGTTTTGTTCTAGTCATAGGTGCAGCTACACTTTTGTATTCTTCTCCTTCCTCTATCTTATAAATCTCTGTACATGTTGCAGGACACAGCTTGAAGATTTATTATATGCCTTCCCTAACTTCTCCCCATTCTTAAACCTCTTCCCAATACTTGTCTTCCAACTTGAATATTCCCATCCTAAGGATGCCTTCCCCTGTAATGTGGTTGTCTTTCTGCTGGTTTGTGTCCTCCACTAGATTGTTTGGTCTCGTAGGTGGGATCTTTAGTTTTTGCTCACTGTTGTGTTCTCAGTCTGTAGAACCACACCTGGCTAAGAGGAAACAGTGTGGTATTTGAATGAGCAAATTCCTGAATGAATGTCTTCAGACCCTTTCTCTTTTCCATACTACTGAGTCTTAGGTCAACTCACCTGAAGCTAAAAATGTTGGAAATGATAGGATGGATGGAAAGAGAAGAAGCGGCAGTTACCTGGAAGTTATATGTGACAATCTGGGGAAAGGAAATATATATTCAAATAAAGAGCTAAAGATAACCAGGGAAATTCAGGAAAATCATTATTAATTAGATCCTTTCATACTCCACAGAGACTAGAGGTTTAATCACTGAAGGAATACACAGTCTGAGAGAGCCTCAGGTCAAATTGAGTGCCCAAGGATGGGAGGGAAGGTTTTCATGAGCCCAAGTGTTTAAGTATTACAATTATACTGAACATCTCTATTTTGTTAGAAATAAAACTAGCTTTTTCCATTGGTGTCTAATTGGAATTAGAAAAATCCTTTGGTTTCAGTGTTATAAGTAACTACACCAAAATTGATTCTCACAGCACAGAAGTTTTATATCATAGCTGAATGGTATACTTTTTTTTATTTTCTCCGTGCCTGGCTAAGTTGAGGGCTGTGAAGAAAGTCAAATGTCAATGATTCTAGGAGG